ATTTATATACAAGAGTGGGATGTATGAGGGACTAGACTCTACCCGGGAGCTGTCCCGGACGTAAGGCACAAGTAAAGTTGGGAAAAGGTAAAGGTAAAATTGTCCCTCTGCTTAACAAACTACGCACTAAGCCACTAGTAAAAGTGATAAATTAAAATTTTATAATGTTTATCTTGAATTAATAAAATTAACAGCATTTTAATGACATTAATCAATCAATTACGACGTAAATCCAAGCTATTTATTTTTTTTTAAAGTGACGTTTACTTTTTGAAAAACTGAAAATTATATTGAAGTGTTATTTGTTGCATAATGCCTTCTACTCCCTTCAGGAGTTTTTTTATATGTAAGATGTTGAATTAAATGACTGTAATTGTCTGTTAATGCATGTGCTGGTGGTTTTTTATATAATCAGTGTGGAAAGCCGTTTGGGGGGGGGGGTCCAACATTCTGAAAGGCTTTAAGGCGTCTCAAACCTTCCTTAAGTATAAAATATCTCAGAAAAAGTATGATGAATTGATATTTGAAATAAGAAATGCGTTATTCTTTTTTTTTTTGTTCTTAAGTTCCATCGAAAGCAAAAGAAAGCAATACACTGAAAGGAATTGTTCCCAAGTGATATTCTAATATCTAGTCTTTTTGGTTTTCTGAAAGTCTAGGTTATTTAAAGTGTTCTAAACCCCTACAAAGAGAACCTCTATCATTTCGAAAAAAAAAAATTGTTTAAACGGACACAATTATGTGGAAATGTATATAGAACACCCACACAGACACAATTGCTTCTACTAAAATCAGATGGTCCATAAATTAACAACTGTTCTTCAGAAGGCCGAGAAGAGACACACACAAAGAATACCAGTGAAATGAAAGGCTCTGTGCTTCGGCGTCCTCTACGCCAACAGAACACAATTAAATCCATACAGGAACTTCTGTGATCATACGAAAAGCTTACATAATTCTACAGTTTCAATTCAACCCACGATTTCCTTTCTTTGCTGTATGAAGATAATTCCTTGAAGCATTCAAGCTTGTTCAGTGAAGAGCGGATGACGGCTGTTTCCAAACAGGAAGACGGAAGTGAGAGTAACCTGAGGCAATGCAGGGTTTCAGAGCAGGGGCTTTCTGTTTTAATTAAAAAGGTTTATAACCGTTACCAATTTTGTGGCATTCATAAAGTAACAGTGACAGAAACAATGAAAGTAGACAAGTTTAAAGACGACCATATAATGGACTTCCATGAACGTTTATATTTCATAATAACATAATTATGTAATATTTATCGTCACGCTGTGGAACTCCAAGGGATAACCACTGAATGGACCGTCCACGATAGCCGAGCGGTCTAAGGCATGTACTGTCTTCACTCGCTTGCAACCGGGATCGTGAGTTCGAATCCCACTCAGGGCATGGATGTTTAGTTTGTGTGTGTGCGTTTTTCTGTGTTTGTGTACAGGTAGAGGCATTGCGACGAGCTGATCACCCGCCCAAGGAGTCCTACCGAATATGTAAGATCTAGAAAAACCGAAGTGAACGGAGAAGTTCATGGAGGTAGCCCTATGCCCACTGGGGCTGTAGTGTCAGGGGGAAAAAATCCATTGAATGGAAGTAACAACCCTGATGGTGCATGGACTTAGACGAGCAGCTGATAGTTATTCACCTCGTATAAAACTCACTGTCGCTGTCTCCCTCAGTTTCGTCTATCTTCCCATCTTGCCATGGGAGCAAATATGGGCCGCAAGGACAAAGCCTAAGGCTTCTGTGTGGGTGTGGAGGATAAGAGAAATACCTCCATTACTTCAAGAAGTCGAAATGTGAAATAAGGTCTCGTTACTTAATGAGCTATATTTGTAGGCTCAAATTCGCTTGAAGCACAGTGACACCAGTAGTTCATAAAATCTCTCAAATAAAACCCTAATAACCCATTAATAACTACTGATTAACTATTTTTATTGCTAGTGGGGTGGGACTAAGTCCCTTGTACTGTGGCCACTTCTGGCCTATTGTACCAGCCCCAGATGATAGGTGAAGGTGATTGTGGAGCAATTGGTGGAATGAAGATTGGCAGGGGAAACCGAAGTACTCGGAGAAAACTTTCCCCAGCGCCACTTTGTTCACCACAAATCCCACTTGACCAGACCCGGGATCGAACCCAGGCCGCCGCGATGGGAAGCCAGCGACTAACCGCTTGAGCTATAACGCGGCCACCTGAGTAACTAAGTGTACGGTACATAGTTAATTTCGAAAAATATGAATTTACTGACAGTAATTCCTCACATTTTGTTTTGGAAACCAAAGATTCATTTGTATATTTGTAGGCTCAAATTCGCTTGAAGCATAGTGACACCAGTAGTTCATAAAATTCCTCAAATAAAACCCTAATAACCCATTAATAACTACTGATTAACTATTTTTATTGCTAGTGGGGTGGGACTAAGTCCCTTGCACTGCGGCCACTTCTGGTCTATTGTACCAGCCCCAGATGATAGGTGAGGGTGATTGTGGAGGAATTCGTGGAATGAAGATTGGAAAGGGAAACAGAAGTACTCGGAGAAAACCTGCCCTAGAGCCACTTTGTCCATCAGAAATCCCAATTGACCAGACCCGGGATCGAACCCAGGCCGCCGCGGTGGGAAGCCAGCGACTAACCGCTTGAGCTATGACGCGGCCACCTGAGTAACTAACTTTACGGTACAGACTTAAATTTGAAAAATATAAATTTACTGACAATAATTCCTCACATTTTGTTTTGGAAACCAAAGATTCATTAATGCGTTCACAACAGCCCAGCATTGATCCTCACTTGACCGGAGTATCTAGTTCGTACCCTCAGATTTATTTTCATTAAAACAAATTTTAATTTTATGCTCCCATCAATACACCCCGGTTTTGCAAATGGCTTCCTTTTCAAGATTTCCTATTTAGGTTTTGTACTTCTGCGAATTGTGTCATAAGCCTCACCCCTCTTATCCTCCTTAGTGAAAAGTACAGAATCTAAAAATCCTCATTAAGCGATTTTCTCAAATCTCGTGTTATTTTCCCCTCTCTGGCCAAAATTTTCCGTTTTACACTCGGTTCCAGAACAGCAGCCGAGGCAGCTCATTTGGTATAGCGAAGGACTACGGGCTGGACGACAGGGATTCGTTTCCAAGCAAGGGTAAGAGATTTTTTCTACCAATTGCAATGAAATCGGCTTTGTAGTCCACCAAGTCTCTTCTCCAATTGGTGACAGGCGCTCCTTCCCAGGGTATGAAGCGGCCGGGGCGTGAAACTGACGGCTCACAGTATCTAATGTTGAGGTAGAGAATAGTGGGGCTATGTCTCTATTCTCTCGTATCTTTCTTGGCGCTGTGCTTAAATAATTAAGCATGGGGCAAAATTTACTCTGTTCTGAAACACCACCAACTTTTCTGATTCCATTAGACAGAGAGAGCAAGAGTGATCACGAGTCACGTCCACGCAGACGGCTAGCCAGTAAAAAAAATGCATATATTGGCTCAATACCAAAAGGGCAGCAGATAAGCCAATTTGACAACCAAACACAGAGCACGTGAACTGGATTGGACCCACAGGATACTATGCAAAATCAACTCTGTCTGCTGTTGATGGGTCAGATATTTTTAAAGGTAACAATCTGGTGTCTCCGTTATGAATTGAAATCGAAAATTCTCTTCCACAGGGGGGACAAATATCAGCTTATTCTTCTCCATTAGACAGTTCCCTTGGTTCAGAAGCTGTCCCATTCAAACTGTAACTGGAAAGCCAAAATGCGTTGTGTACGGACTAATTATTCTGCAGATCCTGGCATAAATATCAGTTCATGTATTCATGTAAACGGATATATGGATCTGTAAGCCTGTCCTTCCAGCCATCAGTATATCATTCCATCAATACATTCATAAATGCATTTGTACATACAACCATCCAACTCATTAATGCAATCCACTCATCATCACTCATGGAGCTGAGCCCTTCTTGAGAAGTCGCCAATTCTGCAGCTACCCAAGAACTTCCCAGAATTTTATGGAACCCGAAGGTTCAGTGCCATGCTCACAAGAGCCATCCACTGGTTCCTATACTGAGCCAGATCAATTAAACCATACCATCCCATCCTACCTCTCTAAGATCTGTTTTAATATTGTCCACCCACCTACATCTTTGTCTTTTCAGTGGTCTCTTTCCTTCTGGCTTTCCCACCAATATCCCATATGCATTCGTCTTTTCACCCATTCGTGCCACTTGCCCTGCCCATCCCATCCTCCTTGACTTAATCATTCTAATTATACTTGGAGGAGAGTATAAGCTATGAAGTTCTTCATTATGTAATTTTTTCCAACCTCTCGTGACTCCATCTACCTACCTTCAAAATATTCTCCCCAGCACTCTGTTATGAAAAACACCCCATGTTCCTATCGTAATGTCATAGACCAAGTTTCACAACCATACAGAACAACAGGTAAAATTATAATTTTGCATATTTAATTTTTATGTTTTTAGACAGCAGGTGAGAAGAAAAAAGGCTCTGGACTGAATGGTAGCAAACATTACCCGAGTTCAATCTCCTCTTAATTTCATCCTGAATAATGTTTAGACAGGATCAGGCATTGAAAAATTAATAAGGGGGTCTCACGGACGCAGAGAGACAGACAGCATAGAAATCGCTTTAGGAAGGAAGGCTAATAATTTATTAAAACATCACAAATATTACTGTAGAGCTACCTCGCACAGAAAGACCCTATTAAGTTATGTCATTTTAAGGACTATTGGTAGCGAATGGAAAAGTAACCTAATGACATTTTGAGAGAGACAAAATCGATACCCTTGTATAATTTTCTATTCCGAGCAACAGAAACGAGTCCACCAAATCCTTGAGTCACATGAGTTATTTATTTACTTGCTAGACGCCATGTATACTGAAGTTCCAAACGAGGGTAGCACACTGTAAGTGAATGGCGTTTCTATGTTTTTAAAAGTAAAAAAAGTAAAGCATTTTCTGTACTTACTTAAGCACCACGCCGTGAAGAAGTGTGGACAATGGATGTAGAGCACACGCATTCATAAATCCTGCAGTAGTGTGAAATTTAGATTGTCAATGGTGAACTTCACGTTGTGACCGCTTTAACCTCTGTGGGATATGCTCATCTACACGCTCAGAAGTAGGATACGCAGGCGCCAAAGTCAGTCTGGATGCTGTAGAGAAGAGAAACATTTATTATGATCTCGGATATCGAACCCAGATTCCTTGAGCGTCCAGTCAGTACTCTAGTAGTTAGTTAGTTAGTTAGTTAGTTAGTTAGTTATTGGAGAGGGTGGGTTTCCCCATGCACTGAGATCTATATTGGTCCATTGTGCTTCCCTCTATGATTTCTACCAGTTTCTATATCCTACCGGTACTGGTGCTTACCATCAGTCCCGCCCAGCCAGCGAGACCGGCTCTACTAGCTGAGAGGTATCTATAATGCTTCCCCCATCTACCAGAGGTATTAGAGACTGCTGTTGGGCGGGAAACGTCCGTTAATTTGGCTCAGTGACCTCCTTTGGAGTTATGAGATTCTTTTACGTGCCGTAAAGTTACGACACGGAACCCACGGCTTAACGTCCCTCCCGGAGGACTTGTTCCCTGAATTTTTCCGCCCTTAAAAATTCGACGACCTCCGCCGGGTATTTGAACCCGCGTACTACGAGTGATGAGGTTGGAACGTTACCTCTAGACTACGGAGGCCGCTCAGTACTCTAGTAACTGTACTGACTTTCCCGGCTACAACGCATTACAAATAATGCAGTTACTAATAATTACATAATGGAATGAAATACAAGCTTAATGACAGAGTGCGTGCCAATTCACCAGAATAATCAATCTATGAAACTAATGAATATGAAAAGCTGTGAACTGCAATCTACTTCTCTCTCATCTGAATTCCTTATCAACTTAATATTATCATATTCACATTTCATTGTACGTATGCCTTAATCTCAGCAATGTGAAAAACGTCATTAAACAACAACACAAGAGGGAGAGGCGTTATGTTTTTAGTGTTAAATCGAATTTTCACACTTTCTAATCAAGAACTTGAGTGAAGGAGTTGAGCTGTGTTCAGGATGTACCTAGATTTAATCTCGACCGGAACATGTAGGTTATCCTGACTGAGCCTTTAATGGGTTTCCTCAGTCCCTCTCTCCAGGCAAAACTCTGTTAAAGCCACGGCCATTTCATTCAACATTTTTTTTTTCCAAATCACTACTTACTAAAATTTGAGTTATTTGTTTGTGGTTAAGTAAACCACAATCAAATCCTCTTTTCTTACGAAGTAAGAAGGCCGCGCCATAGCTCAAGCGGTTTGTCGCTGGCATCCCACCGCGGCGGCCAGGGTTCGATCCCGGGTCTGCTCAAGTGGGATTTGTGGTGGACAAAGTGACTCTGGGACAGGTGTTCTCCGAGTACTTCGGTTTCCCCTGCCAATCTTCATTCCACCAATTGTTCCACAATAACCCTCACCTATCATCTGGGGTTGGTACAATAGGCCAGAAGTGGCTGCAGTACAAGGGAATTAGTCCCACCCCACTAGTAATAAAAAAAGAAGAAAAATAGGAAGTAAGAAGCTTCGGCTTTCTAGCCCACAGTTCATCACTTTAATGACTGAGCTGCTAAGCTAACTAATAATAACGTAGGTATAGCAGCATTGGAATTCTATACACTGTTTCTTTTTTCTGTTAATTTCAGTAAAGGCAGAAATCATTTCCAACAGTTTAAAGGTGGAAGAAATTCGTGGGTCTTACAGGAAAAGGATTAAGTTATGTACACATTGAGCGGAAAAGCAAGGTAAGGTTATTCCCAGATACGAGCATGCTTTGTGAAGCTTCAATATAAGTTATGGCACAAATGCCTCTTAACAAAAGGTGTAATTATGTATCCTCCTACTCTCCCAGGCTGTGTAATGTTTGGTTAGGTTCGTGCTGTTGGAGCGCGTATATCAGCCAGCAAAGAGGCTTAGAAGCACCATGAGTAATGTAATAGGATTTCTCAGCAAACGTGAAAGACCACAAGGCAATTACACGGACGGAAATTAGAACATAATTATAGAAATGAATAAATAATGCCTGTATTTTCCTTATTCCTCATTTTTTCTTCTAGAACTCAGAAAGAGCGTATATGGAATCATGAAATAGGTACATGTACAGTGAGAATGTAATTATTCTTATATTATTAACATTAAGTCCCCTTCATCAACATTATTAAGAGTTTCTTAAAGAGGAACGAAGAAAGTCGTCAAAGGTAGTCATGCTTGTCTGTCTGTCCGTCTGGGAACTAGTATCAGACCTTATAATTTTCGAAAAATTTTCATCACATTCGATGTTGGACACATTCACTGAAAGTTTTCGAGCACTTCAGACTTTAATCGTAATAATTTAGAAAATAGAAAAAAGAAAGACTATTGTGCACCAGGTCAAAATTGGATAACAGATTTCCAGCAAAATTTGTTGGACCGTTCCATATTGATTTATATTATAATTAGCATAACGACATAATTTGACATTTCCACGTGTCTTATACAATGTTTCACAACTTCTTTTCAAAGCCAATATGGACAACTTCCATAAAAATATAAAAAATATTCGTACTGTTCCAAAATAAACCCTAGTTTTCCTAAGGTCATAAATTGAATTTTCCTAGCATCCCACGAAGCATTTCACAGGTTTTGTTGAAATTCGATAAGTTCTGGATACACGGAACACCACCACACAGGCAGGGTGAGGAGGGGACAGGCAGGGGGCATACATGATAGCTACAGAAATATTTCGAGAGCCATATATACACAAACAGCAATGCCGCTGTGCAAGTAGTCCCAACAAAGAAAATCTACGCAATGGCGTCTGGTTAACGAGAGGACGTCCCCCAAGCAAAATATCGAAAAATTTTAACTGAATTTTAAATAGACTTTATTGATTTTATTGATTTTTTATTGATTTTATTAGAGTCCATTATTGTACGCGAATTAAGACACATCGCTTTCACCTGTGATAGAAGTCGGATATATCACACAGTGAAACAGATTTTGGCAGAACACCTGACGATGGCCATGTACGGCCGAAACATGTTGTGAAATAGAACAGAAGGAGGAGGAGGAGGAGGAGGAGGAGGAATTGTATAAGATGAACTGTGGATGGAAATAGTACAGTTTGTGAACTTCGACACGTGAGATTTTCGCTAATTAATATTTCGTTGTTCCAACTTTTAAGTAATCTTATTAAACTGTAATCGCTAGTAACTTTGTGCCCCACACTACGGAATAAACCTTATTTCTAACTTGTTACGGCCAATCATGTTTCATGAGAATATAGCAGGCATGAGACAAATAAATACGCTGAAAATTTTCGTCTAAAACCTCAATATAAACAGATCCACTATTGGTGAGCTTTTATGAATGAGGTAATGAACTTATGTGGAAGTTATTCACCAAGTGCGGAAATATTAATTTCTGAGGAAAACTGTGTTCAACAGAGTCAAGTAGTTAATAAAGTCACGTGACTAAATGTGACTATAGACGGAGTTTAGCTTGGTAATAAGATTTATTACACAATTAATACAACTCATAACTACAAGTAACTGCAGCGCTATGCTAATACACACTCTACAGTACAGTACAGAACACACTTAAATCTTCTCAGCCTGCTGTGTCTTCACCGGTTTCCTGGTAACAGCTTCCAACGGTGGAAGTTCCCCTTCCTCTGGGTTACCGATCTGCCTCTGTGGCTCAGCTACCAGCTTCTAACCACAGCAGCCCTCTGACGCATTCACCAACTAACTTGCTCCACTTCACCCGCTGACTCCCAGGCTGGCGGCCATCTCACACCGACCACCTGCTGTTCTCACTGCCGTCTCCAGACTCTCTTCTACGGAATGGCAGCTGGCTAGCCGAACCATAGCTCAAGCGGTCAGTCGCTGGCTTCCCACCGCGGCGGCCAGGTTTCGATCTCGGGTCTGGTCAAGTGGGATTTGTGGTGGACAAAGTGGCGCTGGGGCAGGTTTTCTCAGAGTACTTCGGTTTCCCTTGCCAATCTTCATTCCACCAATTGCTCCACAATCACCCTCACAAATCATCTGGGGCTGGTACAATAGGCCAGAAGTGGCCGCAGTACAAGGGACTTAGTCCCACCCTACTATCAATAGAAGAAAATGGCAACTGGCCCTCCTTATATGGCCGGCACGGACCTCACAGGGGACACCCCCCCAATAGATCTTCCATTGTTCCCTAGCAACGGCCGTTGTTTACAGAGCCATTACTTAGCAAAGACTGTTGTATGCCTATTTATTTCCCAGTCGTTGCCTAACAACCCGTCTACATGCCATAATAAGAAGAGAGACAATTTTAACTGAATGTACCTAAATTTTCTGCTTGGCTCTTACATGTACCATGTCAAGCACTCAAATCAGAATTATAATTACTTCGTAAGTAATTTGCAGATAATACAGGTATTATTAAAAATATAGGTCCTACATGGGATGTAACGGGGGAATACCTTGACTGCAATTTTCATGAATGCTGCATTACCTGTGAAGATAATTAGCGATCAACTGTTGATAATTCTATTACAGATACACGGTTATTTAATTCAATTCACACGATATCTTAAGTGAGCTCTTAAACAAGAAATATCGACGGTGATATTGGCGATTGTTATATTCGTCATACTATTTGAAATGACAATAACAGCAACGTAGAAGCACATTCGGCCGCTGACGGTAGCCGAACGGTTTAAGGTATTTACTGTTTTCGCTCGCTTGGAAACCGGGATCGTGGGTTCGAATCCCACACAGGGCATGGATGTTTAGTTTGTGTGTGTGCGTTTTTCTGTGTTTGTGTACAGGTAGAGGCCTTGCGACCAGCTGATCACCCGCCCAAGGAGTCCTACCAAATGTGTAAGATCTAGAAAAACCGAAGTGAACGGAGAAGTTCGTGGAGGTAGACCTAGGCCCACTGGGGCTGTAGTGCCAAGGGGGAAAAAAAAGCACATTCGAAACAGAATTTATAGAATTAATTTTTAAATAATTCAACCGGAACTCATATCCAGTCAAGATTCTAATTACTTCCCTATATTTCCGAATTTCCTGTAAGGGCAATCGCTACTCGTTGATTAGTTNCCCTGCCAATCTTCATTCCACCAATTGCTCCACAATCACCCTCACAAAT